AGGCCCGGGGAGGGTGGTGACCACCGCGGAGGAGCTGTGGCTGTCAAGGTGAGAGGGGACTAGGGGTGGACCTCGGGGACCCCCTGCGCTCCGGAGCGCAAGCCCGGGCTAGTCTGCTCCTGGAAAGGCGCAACCGGAGCCGTCGTCCTGGGATGTTCCTGTGTCATGCCTCCCAGTCCCAACTTGCACCCCTGAACTGAGTTAGCGGTTCCTCGCCAGGACGACTTTCACCTCCTCTGTTGTGTCTTTAAATTGACAAGAGAAGGGGTATCCTCTGTATCCAGGACTTAGCTTGCGACCGGGACTTAGGGGAAGTGTTATGCATACTTACACCAATGCGATTCCCAGCTTCAGCTAACTTTTTCTTTGGGTCTTTAAATGACGTTAAGCTATTAAGAGCACTGTGTGCTAAGCACCGCGCCACATTGAGTCATATCGTGTGTTATTCGCGGCCGTTCCAAGAAACAGATGTTGTTATCCTCATTTCAGAGATGTAGAAATAAGCTCATTATCTGGCAATAATTAAGCACCAATCTATGTGCTAAGCGGTTTGTGTGATTCCGTTTAACCCACACAATCTATGAACTTAGGTAATAATCTTATTTCTACTTCACAGATAAGGAACTAAGAAGGTTCACATTGTTAATATATACTTCAGAGTATGTGTGTACTGTCATTTTGACTTTTTGGTTTGGTTTGGGTGTCTTGTGTGGCAGCAGTAACTGTTTGTGGCTATGTACTGGCAATGAATAAGTCGTCCCTGAAGCTGGGAAAAGGTTTTTTTTTTTTTGTTTTGTTTTGTTTTAAATGCCATAGTTTATGTCCTGTACAAACTCACAATTTAAAAATGTGACCAACTGGGAGAAGGTAAAAATTAACTTACAGCCCTTTGTAGTGTCTTTGACTTAGTGGATGGAGGTGGGGGAATCATGTTTTATAAAGCACGTCTTGGCACAATACAAAGATGGCCAGGCAGGAAGGGGCTCTTACACTCTTTTCTGGGTTTGTTCTATATTTAGATGATAGAGGTACTGACAACTGACTCTCAGAAACTGCTACACCAGCTGAACACCCTGTTGGAACAGGAGTCTAGATGTCAGCCAAAGGTCTGCGGCTTGAAACTAATTGAGTCGGCACATGATAATGGCCTTAGAATGACTGCAAGACTCAGGGACTTTGAAGTGAAAGACCTACTCAGTCTAACCCAGTTCTTTGGCTTCGACACGGAGACATTTTCCCTAGCTGTGAATTTACTGGACAGATTCTTGTCTAAAATGAAGGTATGTTTAAGCTACAATATCCCATTTCTTAATTTTGCTCAGCGTGTGTTTAAGAGATCAAATTGCAGAGGGCCGGAGATGGCTCAGGGGTTAGAAGTGCTTGCTGGTCTTCCAGAGGACCTGAGTTCAGTTCCAAGCACCCAGGTGGGCCCCTGGTATCTGATGCCTCGTTCTGGTGCAAACACCACCCATATACACATGGATGCACATTAAAATCAATACTAATAAAAAAAAAGCTGCCAAATTGCTGGTTTAGAACTGGTATTCAAAAGCCATGTTCAAATGTTGTGGTAATACTTCTTTCTCATAATCAAGAGTAGTAATACATCACTTACTAGGAAAGAGAAACATTGTTTAACATCAAACAATTAATTGTCGTACTCCAGCAGGAAATCTGGCTGTATTTAAAAACCTTCCTTGAGCCAGCAAAACGGTTCACCAGGTAAAAGCACCTGCTGCACACACCTCAGATAGTCAAATCTGAGTCCTATCCCTGGAACACTCGGTGAAAAGAGGGAACCAACTCCCAAAAGTTGTTCTCTGACCTCACACGTGTGCCATGGCACACGCCTGTCCTCACATCCACCCCACCCCACCCCACCCCTCTCTCTCTCTCTCTCTCTCTCTCACACACACACACACACACACACACACACACACACACACACACACACAGTAATAATAGCAAAAAAATGAAAGCCCTGGCATAATGGTGCACACCATTAATCCTAGCACTTGGGAGCCAGAGACAGGTAGATCTTTTTTAGTTTGAGGCCAGCCTGGTCTACATAGTGAGTTATAGGCCAGCCAAGTCTACACAGTGAGACCATTTCAAAAAATAAAATTAAAAAAAAAATTAGAAATCTTTCTAAAAACTCCTTTACATATTTTATATATTTGCGTGTGTATGGGCACACTCATGCTACATCCTGTGTGGAGGTGAGGACCACTGCAGGCATTAGGTCCTGGGGATTGAACTCAGGTCAGGGTTGGTGACCAGCATCCTTACTCACTGAACCATCTCACTAGCCCTAATCAAAACCTTTCTTGATGGACTGAATATTTCCATTCATCTACACATGTTCATAGATTTAAAGATGTTTGTTAAAGTCAGAATGTTAGGTTGTGGTTAAGAATGAGGATGTATTTTTTTAATATTTTTATTTATCATGTATACAGTATTCTGTCTGCATGAATGCTTACAGGCCAGAAGAGGGCACCAGATCGTATTATGGATGGTTGTGAGCTACCATGTGGATGCTGGGAACTGAACTCAGGACCTCTGGAAGAGCAGACAGTGCTCTTAACCATTGAGCCATCTCTCCAGCCCCAGGATGTATTTCTTAATCACTACCCATATCTAAAATTCTAATTCCTTTAGCCAATTGACATTTGCAGCTTCAGTTTGCATGCAATAGGAAAGGAAGCATTGTCTGAAGGAGGATTCCCAATAACTGACGAAATACTTGTGTGGCTTTCAAAGTTAAACTGTTAAAACTGAAGCTCTCTACCCTATCTACTAAGTCACTGATTTCAAGTAGGGCATATAAGACTGACAGGCTCCTCTCCAAGTAGGGTAGATGTTAAATCCCTTGTAGCTAAGGTATGTGTTGCAGATACACTTTCATAATGGTGGCTCTGAGTCCTAGATTCTCCTTTGGGTTCTATTTATTGAGTCATGGTAAAGACACACTGCTGATGTTTGTGTTTGTAGGTACAGGCGAAGCATCTTGGGTGTGTTGGACTGAGCTGCTTTTATTTGGCTGTCAAATCGATAGAAGAGGAAAGGAATGTCCCATTGGCTACT